GTTTTCCTTGTTTGAAAAAGAATCACTATGTTTTATGCCCATTTTGTGCTTAGTAAAAAGGGTCCGTTAGCCAAAATCTGGCTAGCGGCCCACTGGGATAAAAAGCTAACTAAAGCACATGTTTTTGAAACCAATATTGATAGCAGTGTGGAAGCTATCCTCAAGCCAAAAGTAAGTATACATTTTTTCTATCCTTTTTCTTTTTATTAAATTAGTTATAAAAATGTTGTTAATGTAAATAGTTAATACTTACCTTGTTTCAATTTAATAAAATTTTCTTTATCTTTGACAAGACACAAAAGTATTAGTGACAATGATACTGACCACATTTCCTGAAACTTCAAGTTAACTAATTTTGTAACTTATGTTCTTAAAAGCTCTGAGATGAAAATAATGCCTATGATGTAAAAGAAAAACTGGAATTATCACTGCTTTGACATATGAAAATAAACATACCACACAATTTTTAAATCAAGCTCTCTAAAGCATAATCACTTTCTTTAAATTGAAAATTACATGTCTAAACCTGGATTTCTGAACAACTAAGGTTTTAATTTAAAAGCTTTGGTTTAAGGATATAACTTGTATATAACAAAAGTATTTTTATTCCATGAACTGATAGCTACAGTTTTTGTACTATATTTGAAAATTATGTAAATGTATACAATGAAGATATTTTTCAAAAATTTTAAATTGATTTAACTACTTTCTAAAGATGTTTTTAAACAGTGTAACAAAATCAAGTTTTTGGAACCAATGTTACCCAGTTTATTCATAAGCTAATTCCAGCTTTTTTTGATGGCACAGTAATGCAATGACAATTTTTTAACTTGCAATCACTCATCTTCACTTTAATACCCTATTAAAAAAGCTAATTATTCAGTAACATTGGGTAGTATTCATTTTTAGCTATGCTTAAAAATGGGTGACACTATAGGTATAGATGATGGGTGTGATATTTTTTTTTTTTTTTTTTTTCATAGGTAACAAAACTACTTTTCTAGTTAAACTGTAAAAACAAACCCTGACTTCCACAAGTTACTGCCATGGCTCCAAAATTCAGTTTTTGTATTGTGGGAAGTAAAATGAATCAATCTCTCTTTCTCTCAGCAAATAATATAACATTCTGGTTTTGAGGTTTATGGTGGGGTAGTAACTGGTTCACTTTTATGAATAAATTATAATGTACCAAATATCTAGTTCCAGCATGGGTGAAAAAAAATAAATCATTCCAAATATTCCAGCAAATTATTTAAAAATCCTTTATAGATGGGGCGGGGTGGCATGTTTTCTTTGTAGAGTCTTTATTTAGCAAATACAATAAAGTTGTCTTTATTTTGAATTTAATTTGCTACTGGTATTGGACTACTACTCCATGATACTATGTTTTGTTTTGATTTTGTATTAGCAAGTCTCCTATTCTGCATTTAACCACATTTACTTTTTTTATGGAAACACAAGATTAAGCTTTATAAAAACTTTTTGTGTAATTCTTTGAAATTTTTTTTTTTTAAGAGAAATGATGATGCAAATCTTATTGTACTGCAGCAATTACATTGAAACAGGCTCTATTCTTTATAAATAGATTCAACAGATTTTTTGTCTTTTATTATTATTAATACTAACCAAATGTAAGAAGTGCTTACAATTATTCTTTTCTTTGTTGTCTCCCTTATCTCTAGTAAATAGTGTATCTTTATACTTAATTACCCTGAGAGTATGCATTTAAAGTGTCTAGTGTGTGTGTAAATGTTATGCAGTGCATTTCTTCCTTTGAAAGGACTTCATTATGCTAAAATAATGTATGTGTGATCTTGATAGTTTTTCATGCTTAAAAGTAATCTTTAGGTTTAAAGATTGTGTTCAGGCCTAAAACAAACTGTCCACACTGCTTGTATTTACAGATGCTCTTCCTAAGATATTGAGCACTTTTTTAACCCAATAAATTTAACATACTTTAAAACTACATTTTGTCATAGGTGACTTCTTAATATTAATCTGGAGAGGCAGTTACAGTATGCAGCCACTTTGGAAAGTGCTTGAAAATCAAACCACAGGTTGATCCAACCATGGTAAATTAATTTGGGAAACTGTTTGGAAGCCATTGATGGTTATACTATCATGAGGGCACAAGTCATTGTGACAGGATTTAAATGTACTGCTCTTGTTCAAACTTGGTCAAGCCAGATAATGCACTCTCTCCCAGAAACTGTAACTAAGGTTTACTCAGCATCAGGGCTGCAGAATCGGAAAACAAAACCTTTGGCTCTGATTCTTCTTTATGTAATTAAATGATTATGGCCTACAAATCTCATAAATCCTATGCATATGCTCCTAACTTGAGTAGGCCTATATCATTATAACAGGTTTATATCAAGGAATAAAGATATTGTGGTTTTTGTATCATAACTATTTCATTCTTCAATATTTTCTAACAGAATTAGGCAAAATCTTTGAAAGGATATAGAAAAAATAAAAAATTTTTTTTTTTTTTTTTTTTTTTTTTATACACATGCAACAAAAAACTATAATAGAAGTTGAAATATAATCTCTGAAAGGATATAAAAGATGGAACAAAAATAAATCTCTATAATGTAAGGCTTTTTATATAAGGTGTAAATTAAACTGGAGTAGGAGTCAGCATGGTTTTACCAACTCTAGTGACCCCTTAATTGTTTCTACTCCAACTCCACAGCCCTGCTCAATATAGTTGCTATATGAACCACTGGTGTGCTCTGGTTATTGAGCAAACACAAAGGTGTCTGCAACAGGGGGCTTGACTAGTCACCCTAGCAGATGAATGTGTTCAAATTTGTGGCATAGAGATCTGATCTATATATCACACATTCTCATTTGAATGCTTAATGTTATATCTTATCCAAGCAGAATGGAGCCTAATAATCTTTAATGTTTACAACTATTTATGAATTTTGTTTTTGTTATAGGTAAAAATGGCCCTGAGAACATCTGGCCATTTGTTATTAGGAGTAGTTCGCATTTACTCTCGTAAAGCAAAATACCTCCTTGCTGATTGTAATGAGGCCTTTGTGAAAATTAAGATGGCTTTTCGTCCTGGTGTAGTGGATCTGCCGGAAGAAAACAGAGAAGCATCAGTTGCTGCTATCACTTTACAGGAGAATTTCCATGATTTTGATACAACTCTTGCAGATCTAAAGTAAGTAAATAGAATTTATTAGAAGTTAGTTTCTTTGATAAAGAAAATGAGTTATTTTTATTTTAAAGAATTAAATATTTCATAGGTATTTTCTATATTTCATCCAAATTCACCACTCTTAATAAAAATAAGTTTGATATTTTTCATCTTCATTATACTTTTTATTAATTCCCTTTCTGTTTTTAATTATTTATATTTACACAAATCTGTGTTTGACTTTATGTATTTTATCAAGAAAAGTTTTATTGTGGAAACAAATACAAATAAAAAAAAAAAAAGAATAAACTTCACTACGCTGTTAGTGCATAGGAAAAAAAACCTTTAAAGAATTCATATTTTTTCTTAAAAAAAAAAAAAAAAATTTTACGTGTCTATATCAAAATCCTCAGTATCTACTGCAAAGTAATCAAGTTAATGAATCATTTGTGCTTGGTGACTTGTGTTTTTAAAGTTCTACACTATTTTGGATAAAATGTTAAATAGTAAATCTCTCTCTCTCTCTCTCTTTAGTGAGATCAATGTGCAAGCCCAGTTTTCTGTTAACCAAAGCAGGCCTGAAGAAATTACAATGCGTGAAGATTATGGAAACATTACTTTAATTGGTGATGATGGTTTTGGTGAGTTATCCTTTTTACTATTGAACAGACAAAGGAAATTGATTTTTCAGATTCATTTTTCTTATTTGTTTAAGCTGTATCCACATCTCAACTACTATTCTATTCTTTTATTCAGGCGATGTTGGATTTGATGATCGGGAAATTCTCAGAGATGCTACTAATTTAGAGGAATCTTTATTCAAAAGTCCAGATATTACTAGCCCTCGAGCTCCAGAAGAAATAAAGAATATTGATGAAGGACCAGAAAAGAACTTAGATGTGGACATGACTGCTCCAGTTACCAATGAATTAGATGAGCCAAGTTTTATGGGTAACTAGCAGAGTACTCTTTCATTTAATAACTAAATTGACTCATTGTTGCTGGTTTTCATAATTGAATACTTCCTACTTCAGACAACATGTGTACATTTTTAAAAAAAAAAAAATAATAATAATAAAAAAGTGAAATGGTTAAAATTTAAATATTAGTCTTTTCCTACTAAAATCAACACTTATCCTCTTTTATAGATGCACCGTGTGATGATGATAATGATGATGATGATAATGATGACTTTGGTGGTGAAATTGGTCAGGAATTTCTTGGTAATTTTTTTTTTTTTTTTTTTTTTTTTCCCAAAATATTTTATCTTTATAGCCAATCGCATAATTATTTTTTGGTTGTATATAATATCCCTTACTAACTTTAATTTGTTTTTGGCTAATGTGCTGTATCTTCAAGCAGAAAATAAATGATTCTGTGCAAGGATCATTATAATTCTTACTAAAGCTATCATTCCATTTTGGGGGTTGTAGGCATAGATGCCAGATTTTGTGATAAGCAATAATGACTTTATTAACAAAAGGTTTCCTTTGTAACCAAACATTAGATTCAATAGATAGGGAATCTGTCTGCAAAGTAGCTGGAAGTGAAGAATATACAGCGCCAGGCAAACCATCCACAATGTTGTATATTGCTTGTAGTTGGTCATTTAAGACTTCTTTTTTGCAAAAATTGGTTAAAATACTTTTCTTTCTTTTTTTTTTTTTTTTTTTTTTTTTTTTTTCTTTACATATTCTGCTGGCACAGATTTCCAGAAAGTTAGGTTGAGTATTTAGATTTAATTCTTTAAGAAGAGAAAAAGAAATTTAATGAAAGTAGGAAATTGCTATACAGTCTAATGAATTTTGGTGAATTAGCATTTACTTTAAGGTATAATTTTACTCATGAACTTTTGAAATGTATCATTCAAACATTGTTACAATTTTCATATTAGGAGGAATAACATTATGCAAACTTTTTAAAAATTCTTTGTAATCTGTTTTACATTATGAAAATGGGTTTTGTATTAAAATACCACAATTTGTTAAACTTTTCTTTCCTTCAAAATGACACTTGTTTTAAGTTTGGTCAGCACTTTGTATGGATCAAACTTGTAGCAATTGATCAAAATGCTTAATGAGGATGTGGGCAGCTCTAAATTATTGAACACTCTTCTTTCAAATAATATTTATTTATGAATAATTATTTTAAGCCACCTTCTTCATTAATTTTTCTTTTCAGATGATACATTTATGGAACCAGGTGGTCTGTTTGAAGATGCACCAGTGACTGATGTGAACATGGAACCAGAAGAACCTGTTACAGAAACTCAAAAAACAGAAGGTATGAAGACCAGTTATTCTTCTACTTTTAGATCAACTTGATCTTCAAAGCAAGTAGAAAAATAAATTTAACTTGCTTTGAAGATTTACATAAAATTTACAGAACTTTTTTTTTAATTTGTGAAATTAGTCAACTGTAGTATGTTGTTTATAGGAGTTGTCAAAAAACTTAAATGCTAAAAAAAATAATGGATTCTACATAGATTTAGGAAAATGTGCATTTGTCAGTGAGAACTGTCATTCTCTCTTTGTTAAATACAGGCAATAAAAATGAATTTACTGTAAAAATCCCAAACACAAAATTATGCTTAGATCCAGAACAGCTTTCAAAAGTGGAAATGCTGTCTAGTATTCAAAAAATAATTATGAATTGCAGGAATCTGAAATAAATTGTTACTGTACATTGCTAGGGTGAGCAATTGACATGATAGAATGTTTTATTAGAGACTTCTTTTCTTTCTGTTCTTATTTTGTCCTCCTGTGTAAGGGTATCAACTTATTTGAAATTAAATTTAAATCTTTTTTTTTTTTTTTTTTTTTTTTTTTTTTTGTCTCCCTCCCAGAGCCAAAAGCAACAGAAGAACCAACTACAAACTCGACTGCAGCTGCTTCTGAGACAGCACCTGTCACAGAACCAGAAACACCAGCAGCTGAGACAACTGGGGAAGTGAATGAAACAACAGGCACCTCTGGCGAGCAGACAACATTGGTTCACAATGAAGATGAGGCTTTTGCTCTTGAGCCTTTAGATGTCACGAATATACCAGGTCAGTTTAGTAGGTATTAATTAAACTTATTTTGAATGTTGTCTTTGTCAACTAGACATAGTTTGCATGAAATGGTATTGAGTGAGTTAAAGTGTAGAATCCTTTCTCAAAGTTATAATAGGCATTCAAAATAAATTCCTTAAGTATTGTTATCTAGCTTTCTACAGACACTTACCAACAATATGGATTATTCATTGTTGACTATTGTTTTAGTAATATCATTTTCAATCAATGTTTTTCACAGCATTACAAACAAGTTAACTATTTGTGTTAATATTGCTTTTAGCAATATTCATTCATTTCTTGGTCTCTTTTTTTCTTTTTCTTTTTTTTTTTTTTTTTTTTTTTTTTTTTTTTTTTTTTTTTTTCTTCTTCTTTCATTATTCACCTTTGCAGATTTAACCTTACGACCTATAACAAAATATTCTTTCTGGATGTGTAAAAGCATTTTTGCATTCTTTATATCAAATACCATGATGCATTATATTTTAATTACAAATATTTACTTTATATCTATTGAAATCAATAATTAACAAAGTGTTTTGTTACACATGTATGCATGCACATTATCATGGAAATGAATGAGATTTGTGTGACTTGGTTTTCTTGTTTTGTGGATGTGTTGTTTTTGTCATTCGTGTCAAATTTTCATTCTCACATTGATACAAAAGCTAACAAATTTTAGAATATTCATTTAAACTGGTACAAGGGTCTATAGGCATTTGGGTTTTAAAATAACCATCTATGTTACAAAATCTGTTAAATTGAAAAATATACCTTCTAATAAACTAGGGGTATTGTGAGGGTCAGCTTCAAAAATGACTATAATAAGCATTAGGAATAATGAACGTTTTAAATTTTTCAGATTGTTTTGAGCTAAGAAATTTTCAGTACTCTTGTGTGTGCATATGTTAGAGATAGGTTATTGGCTACATTATATTTAAGTGCCAAGAAAATATCAATGTCATTCAACAAATATACCATTTATATTTAATGTTTTTATGACAGGGAAAAAAAAGTTTGTACTCATGTGCTTGCTTCATAAAATCTAACACTTGCAACCTGTAAAATGAAACTGGTAGTTTCTGCAACATTTTATCAAAACTTTTTCCACTACACTGATGATTAATTCCTGTATATACACATTAAATTTTGGGAAATTAGAACATTTTTATTTTTAATGTGACACAATGTGCATATTAAGTAAAGTGCAATTTGTGTATGCGTGTCACAGATATTCAGATGAAGCTTTCAAAATCCTCTCTCCCCACTCCCCCCCCAATCTTATGACATAGCAGCACTCATGCTGACACATCACCAATGTCTTATTTATAGGCAGTGATGCATGCTGCAATATGGTTCAGTCATGCATATTTCTAATAGCCTAATGGATTGGTTAACGAAATTGATGGTATAGTCATTGAGTGTTCAGTCCCTGAACCAAGTAGTACAGGCTCAATCTCAGTGGAAATTTAGCTAGCAATAAGTGAGCTGTACTAAAAAGAGAACAAGATGAGATAATCCCTTAACATGGACAATATACCTCATGGATTAAATAAGGGTTTGCTTCAAAATCTAAACATTACTCATATTGACAGATATCTGAAGGACACAAATGTTGAAACATAAGGGTATCAATTCAACTGTAAATATATATATATATATATATATATAGTATTAATACTGTTCATGCACTCTGTGTTTTTTAACCTTGTTTACATCTATGTGCGTGAACATTTCTATGTAATTCTACTAAGCTACCTGTACATTTAAATTGAAAACCATGTTCGCTACATTCCCCTCAGTTTATATGTATATACATTACTATATTAAGAAAGTAAATCTGAATATCTATTAATAAATGCTTTAGATTTGGTTCTTTCCAAAAAAGGTTTGTTTTTTGTTTTTCAAAATTGAACAATGCCAGTCAATTTCAAGTGTATTAGCATTGTGCACATCTTTTATTAGTAAATTTTCCTTATTTACTAATTTTGGTACACATAAGCAGATGGGTATTTGTAATGATCTTTCAAAATATCCTATTGTAATTGTGTTTGTCCCTCCCTGTGCACAACTGTTTCGCTCTACCAATACCTCATAAATAATGAACTGTTCCATTTTGGTTACATGGAAAGAGAGAAGAAAAGACACTGCTTGGTTTCAGTGAGAAAATAAAAGGGAAGATAAGAATGGAGAGATTGATCGATCAGGTTAAGTTAAGAACTGGTGCTACACTTTGATCTTAATCAAAAGACCGGGAAGTATTGACAACCACAATATGTGTAGTATCAAATGTCATAAACCGAGTAAGTTAATCCAGCTACCATAAATAAAATAACAATTGCTGAATTATTTTTTAAATTATTATTAAGAGAAATTTTCATGAGATAGGTATTTGGCTAGAAAGAAAGAAGGGAAGATAGAAGTGTTTAATGTCTCTTGCCAATATCTTGTTCAATAATGGACTGTCTTGTTTTGATTGTTTAGAAGAAAGAAAAAACTAGATATACACTACATGGTTTCAGTGAGAAAATGAATTAGAGATAGAAGTGTTTAACGGCTGTCTTGGTAAAATGGAAAAGGTTGTCAATTTCAAATCTTCATATTTAAAATTCTTATTGTAGGGGAATTTCCATGTGTATTTTATTGTTGTAGAACTCACCAGGAGCTTATTCAATCACTAACTGAATAATTAAGTAGGCTTCATCAGAAAATTCAAATAGGAAAACCATGAAATTTTCCCAGTCTTTCTAGTGGAAGTAATAGTAGTAGCAAAGCAAGTGAAAACAATTATGTAATCTCTCTCTCTCTTTGTGAACTTCACCACAGTAAGCATCTTCATCTATCAACATGGCACAGCAAAAGCAAAAGGACTAAAACAGACTGATACGAGATTTGTTTAATTTTTGTCTTGTAGGACAAGAAAGAAAAGGCAAACGGAAGAGAAAGCTGATTGTTGATGAACAAAAAGGAATTCCCAGTGAGACAATGAAGTTGCAATTGGCAGATACAGCAGATATTATTACCACCCTTGACCTTGCACCTCCAACTAAAAAATTGATGCACTGGAAAGAAACAGGAGGAGTTGAAAAATTATTTGCTCTGCCAGGGCGGCCAATAATCTCCAAATTTACATGGCGGGTAAGTTTCTTGAATAGTTTTCTTCCAAGCTCAATCGGCATGCATTCTTTTTCTGTATTGCTGATTAATTAATCTTTATCAGTTTTTTTTTTTTTTTTATCTGGATTTTTATTTATACTTACTCTCTCATGTAACTGTTTTATCATCTCATTATTAATAAGCTCCAAAGATTAATTCTTTCTATATTTTCTTCCATCAGGGAATTCAGAGAGGAACTTATCTCTCTTTTTTTGTCTTATTTCTCCTGCACCCCCTCCTCTGTATAAATAATAATTGTAATATTTCATTTTCTATAGACAAAACCATCAAAGTTATTTCATATACTGTTTTAACAAACTTAATATAAATACTCAAAATTAATACTTAGTGATGAAACTTGTAATTCATTTTCATTTCGTGCTTTAGTATTTTTAAAAGCCACAAAATTTCAGCTATAAATTTGTGCTGGCCATTGAAGCATGGATAAAGTATTTTGTTCCAATTTGTGCACTTTACCAAATACAACAATCTGAAGAAGGCTGAGAGTACAGTGATCAAAATGTTGTGACTATACTAGTTAGACATGACAACAGTTTAAACAAATCTTAGCATAATGATTCCTGTTTACTATTGGTGTTTTATTCATTATGGTGAAAATTTTAATTACTTATATATAAAGTGCTCTTTCAACAATATAAATAAAAGAAATCAGACTTCCCTATCTAAATATTTTTGGCATCTGAAGGAAATAAATAGAACATCTAAAGTAAAATGGAAAATTATAAATAGGACTAGAACTTGTAAAGCTTGGGATGACCCATGCCCTTTGTGCCTCCATGAGAAACTGCACATTATTAAGTTTCTAAATAATAAAAATCTATTAAACAATAGACATGAGTTAACAGTTTTTTGCCGGCATCATCAAATTTATACACTGAATAATTAGCTAAAAACAAGCATACAATATAATAACTTTTATAATCCATAGCCCAAATAAATAGTTTAAATACCCTACAAAAAAAAGATAACCCTTTATGAAGTCTAAAAACAAATGTTACGGCAGTTTTTATATGCACAAATCCCTTTCATAAAGAAATAAAATAAAATAAATAAATCTCCATAGACGCGTAAACCAGACTAGGCGAAAACATCTTCAGTTTCAAATTTAGACACCCCCACCTTACCCTGACTTGACATCTATGAAAGTAACTCTATACTGATACTTATTATTAACACCCAACACACCCCTACCTATTTTAAACAATTTGCCCTGGCTGTTACCATGGAAATTTTGATTTCAATTATGAATATACTATTAAAACACATAAATTTCAGAAATAAGTTATTCCAAAAAAAATTTCACTTGATGATGGAACAGAGCTTACTTTAATTCAATTAATTATATTGAAGTTTTCGGCTCTTGTTTTGAAACATGAGACCTCTTATGTCGCGAGTTGGAATTATATTTTTAAATAAATGATTATATATACACTCAAATACATTTTTTTTTTTTTTTTTCCCCTCTCCTGAGATGCTGGAAACTTTTGCACTCACCTAATATTAGGTATCTCAAACTACTCTAGTTTACATGGAAATATACCAAATCAATGACATTTCCTTCCATATCAACTGCTGATATCTTGGTTATTTTCAAGGCTTTTTTGGTAAAATTAGTATGTAAGCATAATTTCATTATTTCTCTTTATAAAGATGCAATTTTTTCTCGTATTACACATCTTTAAATTGTCGCTATTTCAATTACACTCAACATATTTTCAAAGTTTCATAGTTGTTTTTATAAAAAAAAAAAACACAGCTACAAAATTGTCAGCTTGTTCCACACAAAGTTCTCTCTATACATATCAAAATAGGGAGGGGTGTCTTTCTCATACTTTAGTGGATGTAATGCCGGGGAGGGGGATGAAAATAGAGAAATGTCGCATCTTTAATAATCAGTTGGTTTCATGTCTCTGAATTTGACTTGGAACCTGATCTAGCAGGACACTTTCTTAAATTTGTAGTATTGAAATCTAAAGAGGAAATTCCTCTGACCAAATTGCCTCCCTTTATAATTCAGGTCATTTCAGCCATAATAAATCTCCAATCAGTCCAAAAAAAAAAAAAAAATAGATCTATGCTTTTCTTAGTAACAAGAAAGAGACCTGCTGAAATACTTTTTCAAAAATGAAAAAGTTCCATCAGCATAAGATAATTTCATATCCACACAATCATTGAAATTCCTACAAAGGGGTGGTGTAAAGTGAACTATTAAAAAAAAAAATGTACACAGAACATATTAACATAAAATCTTTTAAATTTATGAAAAATAAAGCTTTAAAATCAAATATTTTTTTATTGACAAATAACATAGATAATGATGACTGGAAATATCCACAATGGTACATTTTCAAAAGTGAAATTAATTTTTTTTTTTTTATGTCATCTGACGGTTCCCCCAATTGCATGGACAAATACAGCACCCTAATGTCTAGTTATAGTCTTTCCTTGTGTTACTGCCATGCTTTATCCATTTGGGCAAGTGCTGGAAAAACAGAAAATGGTAGTTCTTCTTGGCTATTGTATATGTATAGTCAAATAGTTTTTTTTGAGTTTGTTACACAGCCTAACTCAATTCCTTTAATGACTTCTGAATGTTAACTTCTGCTGTTTCTGCATTCTTTACATGGAAATTACAGTTTTCATGTGTCATTGCTATGTCTTTTTTCACATTGGGGAATTCCTTTTAATAAAAGCATCAATACCTAGGTAAAGCAGCTTTGTACTAGTTTAGCTTGTACTTTTCTGCAAATAGTGCAAAACACTGAATCAACAAAGATATCATTTTCACTAACCCAGCCAAGGCATATTCCATGACTTCAATGTAGAAATCTTCACTTTATTTTCAATTTTGTGAGGTGGTTAACTTTGAAGGCTGATAGGGAGAACTTGATGACTCGGATTAAAACTTCAGAGGGCATTGACCACTGTTTCAGCAGAAGTGCTTTGAGTTTTTCTGTGAAGAAAATATAAAAAAACTAAATTAAGAATTAAATGTATTGGTAGAATATTTTGAAAAAAAAAAATTTTTTTTTTTTTTTCTTCTTCTTCATTTGAAGCTATGAATAAAGGAACCTACTCTTGTTAGGACCAACTTTAATCTTTTATCACAGTAAAACATTAAATAGAAATACTAAAGAATAGAATTGCAAAATATTATTTTTCTGTGTTTAGACTTGTTTACATTACAATATGTACAGTACATGTCTAAATTATTTTAGATGGGTGGGTATTTTGTCAAACTGGTTCCTACTTTTTGACGTAGTTTTCTCTCCTTTTTGAGGAGACCAGTCTATTTAAGTATTGCTGTTTTTAAAATGAAATGTATTATTACTATGTAATACACACAGACACACACACACGCACGTTCATTTCATTTCCGGTAAATATAAATGCTGCAAGATTTAAATAAACTTATAACATTTGTTGAAATTCCTCTCATCTACCTCTTTTCTTTGAAAATATATCTGCATATGGCTCTAGACAAAATTTTTCTTGGAAAATCCCTGCTACCACCGTAAGAAAAACCAAAATTTTTATTCTAAAATAAAATTTTTGTGTTGCAAAAAGAAAAAAATTTATGGAAAAAAAAAAAAAGATTCTGTTTCAGATTTATGATTATTCAAAGATCACAGAAAATTGGTCAACGTAAATGTTTTTTTGTAAAGTTCATAAAAAAAAAAAGGAGAGAACTTAATATGTTTATTTGAAAAGGCTTCCAAGGTCTTAGTTTCTATCCTCTTCCGATAGTTCAGCAAGTCTTCTCATGTTCAGCATTTTGGCACGGTGTTGTCATTGGAGACATCTTGTTTTGGTTGAAAATGAAACCAGCACATATGAAACATATATTTTCAGGTTTTGATGATGACATGCAGTTTTGAACCCCAAGGAAAGCTTTTTGCTGTGATAAAATGGGTTAATTCTCTTTCTTTTTTTGTTGAGGGCAAAAATTACTGTGGATGTGGCTTGTTTTTTAATTGCACCTCAGCATAAGCTGTGTGAGAGTGAGTGAGTGAGATTGATATGTGTGCACACGCGCACACACACACACACACACACACACACACACACACACACACATTGTTACAATCCTCCCCCTGTCCTCAAACTGTATTATTAACGAAGATAAAGGAGGATCATAACCGGTGTTATTTATTTTTAACATTTATACAATTCTCATAAAATAATTCATTCCCCAGTGGTCTCTTACCGATCAGACACAGCCGAGCGGAACTGATTAAGGAACAGACACGATAGGCAAAAAACAACGATAAGCCAGGTATATAGAGATAAGGAATAAATTTATTATTAAACATACAAATAGGGGAGAAAATGAAAGACAGGCAAAACAAAATAACAATGTGTCAAAAATAAACATTGTGGGCAAAATAGTGGACGGGGAACTTAAGGTAAATAACAAATCAACATATGATCTTGTGCCACACTTGCACGAATTTACAAAACGGGGGGAAAAACAAAACAAGCAGTGAGAAACATGTAACAAAAAAGGGATCTCGTGCTAGACTTGCATGAAAGTACAAACATAAAAGAATACATTAAACAAAATGAAAACCTAAGAGAAACGGCAGGCTTATCTAGTTGTCAAAAAAAGTACTTTTTCTTGTATCTATTTCTTTTCCTTTCTCTTTTTTTCTTTTTCCTTTTTGTATTAGAAGCGTATCTGTTTGAGGTCTATTCTTTCTTTTTGTCTTGCCTAGGGGCTTTGGGTTATGAATAAATTGAGACTGTCTTCTTCTTCCCCTCTCTCTCTCTCTCTGCTTCTAAAATGTAAGCATTGATATAGCTTTTATAATAAATTTAGGTGAGGGTTCGTAACATAATGTCTATTTTCACTAAATATAAACCAAAATAAATTAGGTTTTTAATGTTTTAATCTGCTTGAATTTAAAATTAAATGGGTCACTTCAATCCAAACCTTGCCTTGCCCCTACGTTGTATTTGATTTAGATCATAAGGATGGCAAGGATCAAATTGTCAACAGGAATCATTGAATTGTTTTAATTGTTTGTTTTATTTAAAAAAAAAAAAAAAAAAAAAAAATATGTATAAAAGAAAATGTTTTATATAACATTTCTTTCAGTAGTACAATTATCAGTTCTTCAGGCAGGAATATATATTCGTCATACAAAGTTATCGACCCTTCCCTCTTTGAATATTTTGTGACACTTTGTTCGTCATGATTAAGTCTAGACAAGACTTCTGAAACACAGCTCAGAGATCTTCAAGCAGCAAGTCACATGAGATCAGGTGAAACGGTTTCTCTTGTTTGCCGTCTCAAACAACTGTCATGTTGGTCGCTTCTACTTTCTGCTTATATGGACCTCTGTCCAAAACCAGAAGGTTGGCCTGGGGTTTCAGTAAATTCTCTAACTCCCTACAGTCCCCTTTGTTTTTACTCCAGAAAATTAATTGCATGCCCAATTTTGGGGAGATCTCTCCTCCTAAGAGCAGTGGTAGCAGAATATCAATCCCCCTTAACTCCCTTCTCATATTGGTACCTCATGCCAATACTACTAAGGGGATGTAAGTAATTCCTCCATCTACTTGATATTTCACCTGTGCCCTTCACTTCAGTCATCATTTTGGTAAGCTCTATTTTTAGACTGCATAGGTAAGCAGGTGGGGTTTAATTATAATCATAAATTTTAATTATTGCTCAAAATTTTCATCAACTGAATTCCCAGACACCTTCAGCTTTCTCAATCAAGCATTTGTCAGCTGTTCCCCCTGACAATCTTTTCTTATTGCATTTCAGTTGTTCTGTAAAGAAATTTCACTGCTCCTTTTTGACAAGTGATTTTTTATTATTATTATTATTATTACTACTCTGCTTTTTTGTTTCCTGATCACTTTAGATATTGTCTCTCAACCAATTTTTCCTTGCCTTGCAGACAATTTCGTAACTCAAATTTTAAAACAATGTCTCCATTTTGACTCTTACACCACCTCTCTCCATACCCCGTGGGTTTAAATTATCTATATGGCTTTTTTGACTGGTCCCCCAAAATAATAATAATGCCGTTTTACTCCCAGCCAGCCCCCACTCCTGACTTGCTCATCGTAGGTCCTCATATAGTTATTCTTCAGTTGACATGTTGACAACCCAGCATTTACCAGGCCCACTTCATAAGTCAGTTGTCAATTTTGGCCATATGTGTTTTGTAGGACAAATCGGATGTTTCTATTCCTTCCCCTGCCTTTTATCCAAGGAAGGAAGAGGAAAAAAGAAGAAAAAAAAACTCTTTGAATTTAATCAAATCTTTCCTCACCTCTTAGTATGTTTATTGGGCTAGCTCTTAACCCTTCTAGCATTTTAGTGCCACATCTCTCTTGGTATAGCTACTGAGCTATCCTTTAAACCCTCCACTATCTTATAGTGTCACATATTTATATTTATGGCTGACAATATTTTTCATTTTCTTTTCAAAAAATGAAACTGGATATATTTTTATTAAAAGAATAATATAAAATAAAATTTGAACTGAATAAACTTAAATCTTTGGTTGCATAGTTTCATAAAAAATTGTAAGGTAATTTCCAAAACATAATTATTTTCCTTTTTTTCTTACCTAGGGATTAGGTACTATTTCAGGGATTAAAATCAGTTACTTTTTTTTTTTTTTTTTTTTTTTAATGGATGCATTTTATACCATTATATAAATTGTCTCTGGGGGAAGGTCTCTTAAACAGTTACAATGCTGTTATGGAAGATAATAAACATAACTTTTTTATTTATATATTAGAGCTTTCTGTACTAGAGACGCTTACTCCAGGTGATTAATAATATTTACATTTAAAATTCAGTGGTCCATACTCTGAGAAGTAATTTTGTTCTAAGTGGGGGAAACTGGCCAAAGAATACCCCAAATTCCTTGCAATGTATGCTGATAAAAGTTAAAAACTGAACGGAATAGGCATTAGTGATAGAATTTTTTAATGGAACTTCATCTCCACCTCTAAAGGAACAAAGGAAGGAAGAAAAGGCAATCGGTGAATCAAACAACTCTAGCATTTATGTAATAGAAGAACCACTTGAAATGACCTTTAGTCACAAGTGCCAAGGCCTATGGGTTACAGTATACCATTACTCCAGCTTTTACATTGACCAAGTCCCTGATATTACATCTGTCAAGTGATGTAATCAAAATTTTTAGTTCCAACCAAAAGCAGAAATTATTTCTTTTGACAGTTTTTGTTGGAGAATATTACACAAATGGCATCAATCTTTAGATGAGACTTTCATTAAGAGATGATAGGATATGGAGCATTCTAGGAATATTGGCTATATCAGAGGCTTATAAACAAATTCAGACTGTAAATCATCAGTAGAGGAAATGCAGGAGGACCATTCCAACTGTCCAGAAAGTCTTTTTCATCAGTTCCAATAAATGTATTTTTATTCATTTCATTTTTTTACTTTTTTCTTTTTTTTAGCTTGAAGATAAATGAGCTTAAACCAAAGCTTTACAATATACATTTGTTTGTGGGGTTGACCCATGATGATTTGTTTCATGAAACCATTTTTTTTTTTTTTTTTTTTTTTTTAATCATTACTGTCCCTTTTTAAAAAGTTAAAAATTGTATAATTTCACAATTTTCCAAAGTTCTATCCATGTATGAGAAAAGGTATTCATATTATGGAGTAAATAACTTTTATTTAATTATTCATCTCAAAGCGAGTGAGGTTTCAGGCATGAATACTTTTTTATAGCAAATTCATGATGGTATATTATCAAATTGCACTTCTGGCTGTTGTTTCATGGTGTAATTTTTTTTATTGATGTACTACTGAAAAATATAGCTTCATTCCTGTTGTGCTATAAATCATAGCAGGGAGTTTCAAGGTATTAACTGTTGAAATGAAACTTGTATGAGCAGTCAAAAGTGCCCTTTTGTATCATGTTTTAACCATTTCGTTTTTGCAAACAATTTTTCCCAATGTTTTCACTAGTCTGAGCTACCAAGATAAATTTGGTTTTCCCTCTCTCTCTCTTTTTTTTTTCTTGTCAAATATTGGAAATACAATTTTAGTTTGGGATACCTATTAATATTTGCTTTCACTGTGAACAATCCCAGGGAGATAACTTTTCCTTCTGTTTCCCTGTTTGGCATTTTGTTGATGATGATATTATCATCAAGATTATTATTAAATTTACTGATATATTTAGAATGAAATTTTAAAAAAAAAATAGTAATAATAATAATTTTGATAATTTCATTTACATAGTGCCGTATTCATATTTACAAGCAGCTCTTACAAACCTTACTCTCTAATATCCCAAAAATGATAAAACAAATCCTTAAACCAAACATTGGGATGTTTTCACTATATACAGAATTTATGGTATTTGTTAATGCCTCTTTTCTTTTTCTTCTTCTGCTTAACTTAAACTACCTGAGTACTGTTGTTTTTGTTTTGTTTCAACTTTCTCGAATTATTAAATTATATCAGTTATGAAAGAGAGTGTCAATTATTGCAGTAAAAATAAGCTATTATGGTACAGGCTCTTGCATATATTCAGTTGTAACAATATAAATTTTTATAAGCAAAAGATTGGTCTAAGCTAATATCCATTTGTCAAAGTCTTTCATTAATCAGCTGCCCAAAAAAGCTAGTACAATCATGTGCTTTGCAGATTAAACAAAGCAATTTTTAAGTGTTTAGTTCTTAATAATAATCATCTTTCTTTTCAGTTATTTGGCAGGAATTTAATCACAAAACCAATGAATGAAGAGGAAGAAGAGGACCATGAAGGTGAAAAGATAGAACTGGAATCACCTGAGTTGGCCCGTGAAGAGGAGCATCACCATCATCAACTTCAACAGTCACATCTTCAAGCACAACATCAAAACCTTCACCTTCCGTTCCCTGCTGGAAACCAGCTCCAGCAGCAAACTCCATTGCCTCTTCATCAAACACCACAGCTTAATCATCTTCCACAAACACAGATAACAGCACAGCAGCAGCAGCAACAGATACAACCTTCTCTGCCACCAAAAAGAGGTAAGCAGCTTTTTTTTTTTTTTTTTTTTTTTTTTTTTTTTTTGTACCTTTATGTTCTGGAATTGAAAAATCAAGAAATCAGAATAAAAATTAGTATGAAAACTAAATACTGTTGTTAATGTATTAACAGTCAAAGAATAAAATGTCTGTTTTTGCACAATCTTTTTTATCAGCAAGTATTTATCAACTTCTATTGTTTCCACTAAATTCATTGACATTCTGGCAGAACTGGTAAATGCTTAGCCAACAGATTACTGAAAAGTAAACAATTCTGCCCACTTTTCAACCAATACTTTAGATGTCATAAAAAAAACTTTACAAGATATAATATAAGCTCTCACAAACCAAATTTTTCATTAAAAAAAAAAAATAAACATTTCAATGTACTTCTTGATACTTTCTTTCTTCTAGGCAAAGAGCCAGCACAGGTGAGCACAGAAACATCTGGTCAGCTGCCAGAACCAGTTTTTCCTTCCTCAGAAGATTTATTTACATCTGAAGATATTAGGCCACCAGTGCAAGACAACACTACTATTGTTGAAGAGCCCTCCATGGTGTCAGCAGATACAAGCATCCAGTCAAGGCCTGATGAAAAAACATTTAATGAGAGCCAACAGCCTGAGAGGCCAGAGCCTACCACAGAAGACACTGCAAATCCTTCGGACTTGTTTGCCAGCACATTTAATGATACAATGGTTGATATTCCAGGAGATGCTGATTCAGTGTACCCAAAAGATCTGGATGATGAGCCTCCATCAATTGCACCACTTTCTGTACCACCCCCATCATGCGACCCAGCATCTGTTGCTCCTGCATCAGTGCCACCACCGCCATGCCAGCTAGTAAGTTATTGCTTTGGTGTCGGAAAAAAAAATTTCCTTTTCAATACAATAATTTTTCTCTTAACATCAGGAAGACCAGTTTAAATCTGTCACTGAAATTTATTTAAAAATTTTCACCTATCTTTAATCTTTACAAATAAAATTAATTTGGCAAGGAAGTTTTTACATTATATAAAAAAAATACCTAAATTTAGTTTTCTGAGTGTAGTGTAACGTTTTATCAAATCAACGAAACCTTCATTTTTCCAAGATATTTTAAATATATTTTGAGCTTTAGTATTTTGACTAAATTGTATGTAACAAAATAGCTATAAAATATTTTAAGGAAACATTATACTGCATTTAGATGAATGAATAAGAAATAACTTGCAGCCTTCTGTCAAGTATTTTAAACATTGTTTACCCTTACTTATTAATGATTCGGGTTATTTTTGTATTATTACTTATTGCTCTGTTTTGCTGTTTAATATGCCTATTGTTAATTTTTGTTAGCTGTTCATATGCTAATATTGCTGAATTCCTTTGCAGACATTTGAGGACATTGAAGCTGGAGAGGTTGAAGGTACCATAGACTCAGGCCTGGATGATGCTGAACAAGAGAAACAGTGGAACAAGCGATCTCTCCAGATGCAGCACTCATTAGAAATTGCTTTCCGATACAATGAAAAACTAAGTTTCAAAGAACTGACTCGCAAACACAACCGTAAACAGGCAGCATCGCGATTCTATTCATTATTGGTTCTTAAGAAGCACCAATCTGTAAATCTTGATCAAACAGAGCCATTTGGTGACATCCTTATAACAAAAGGACCACGTTTTGGGCTTGTCGTTTAATGCTGGCAGTGACATTCACTGTTGTGGTTAAATAAAACAAACTCCAACTAATGGGTACAGAACCTATTGCCGTGAGTGACTGACTGTGGTTGTAAATGCTTGGAAGATCATTTATTTTAAATTAACTATATGCATAGTCAGAGAGTATGTGCATATTCCTGTCTATCTGGACATATTCTCCATACTGGGAATCTATCAAAAAAAGATGTGAATAAAATAAAATTTTAAGACATACAAGCAAAGAAAAACCAAGCCATGAACATGCTGCCTACACATTTTTTCTTTCTAACAGACAAAAGCAAAAAGGGCTACTAATTATTTTTCCACTTGTTGAACAATTGTAAGGGCTTATTTTTCAAGTCCTAAAAAAAAAAAAAAAAAAAAAAAAAAAAAAAAAAAAAAATTTTTCTTTCACTTGACTAAATCAACAGATTTCTTGTAAGCTCCAACTGCTGCCGTTGCTCAGTTTCCTCCTTCTCCTTATTTTATTTTCTTTAATCATTGCATAAGAGCAGGAATTCTTGACTCGTTTTCTTCATGAGATGGGGGGGGGGCCCAATTGATTGCTAGTCTCCATAACTCATTCGTTTTTAATCACATCTTTTGAAGTTCTATTTTTCATGTCTGCACACATGTAGCGATTAAACTGAATAACTTTGAGTTTTTTTTTTTTTTTTAATAAACACGAGGAAAGTTTCATTTATCTAATGCCAACTTTTAACGTTTCATTCACTCTATTGCATTGTCACTCATTGTACAAGTGTTTAATAGTAGCTGTTTGAAACAATCTTCAAGAGAAAGATGCTAACAGTTCTTTTAAGGGGGGGTCTGATTTTTACACTTTAACACGCAAATACACTTGTGCTTTAATTTAATCATAAGCTAGTATCCACTGTCACATTTACACATTTCAGTGACTTGTGAAAGCTTTAGTCTTAAATGTAAGGGAAGAAACTCCTCTTGGAAAATAGGCAATTGTTGAGCGTTTTCTTTTTCTTTTATTTTTTTAAAGTGTTTGTGCACGCATATGCATGGCTTGGCTTGGTTTTGTTTTGTGTGGGGGGAGAGAGAGACCTTTTTTTTTTCTTTTTTTTTTTTTTGTTTATATCCTCCCTGCCGGTGTTACTGGAGAAGGAGGAAACACTAAGTGGAGAACTTCTCTGCAATCAGCAATGGCAACAAAGTTTCTTGCATCTGCTCTTCATTCTAATCACAAGATAGTAAAGATACTGAAATACATGCTAGACAGCCAGCCCCTCAAACTTCAATGCTGCTCTGGACTAACTCTCCTCACTTCTCAACAATATCTGGCATAGCTTGACTCTTCTGTTTGTTGTGTTTTTTTTTTGTGTTTTTTTTAATGCTTTCTAAATATCAATTATTAACAGGCAGGAATTTCTCTTTGCAGCATTTACTATTCAGCTAGTTTAGCTTTATTTCTTAGTTTTTATTTTGCCTTCAGGATAATCTTAATTATCTTAAAATAAGTGACAGAAAAGTGAAATTGACTGCCACTTGGCCACCTTTTAAAGCAAATGTCCAATTTTAATTATCTGCTAACCATTTAAGTTTTTTTTTTTAGCTGTTGTCCCAATTCATAGAAACATTTTTTATATATATATATATATATATATATATATATATATATATATCCTTCCTGGGCATTAAAATCTTTATAGCTGTTTTGTGGTGGCTGTTCTTATTCCTTCTGTCCTCTTGGAGGGATTTGAAATAAAACAAAGTAAGCTAAATTTCCTTTTCTGCTGGCTAAGAAAAACCTTGTCCTTGCAAGCTTGCACAGGTAACAATTACTACTAGAGTTGATTTCAAATTTGGGTGGGATGGGAATTACAGAAATTTAGGCAAGTGGCGGCAATGCTAATAGCAGCTCTCCTAACTTTGGTTGCTTTGGAAAGCCACCTAATTGTATATAATCTCATTTACTGTATCATTGTACATACATAAAACAGTTCTGGTTAAATCTATAGGGGATCTGGAAAGTGCTCAGAAACACTTGTTCCATTCCTTTACATTGTTTCTTTAAAAAATAAAATATTAAAAAAAATATATATGGGGAGGGGGGTGTTGGCTTTTCTTTTTTTTAACCTCCATTTACTCAAAAAGAGAAAGAAAAAAAAATCCACCATTCAAAGTTATCATCTTGTGTCACTTAAGTCTGTGGAATTCTTGGCTGTTGATTCATAGGTTTGGGTTTGTTGTTTTTATTAAGCCTATATTTTACTGTCCACCCAGTCTCTGCGAGTTTCCTTTTACTTCACATGTCTCTCTCTCTCTCTCTCTCTCCTTTTCCCACCCTAAACTTGGCCAGTATTTTTTTTTTTTCCTTCCTTCCTTAAAAACGTTTGTTTCTCTTATGTCATTGTTGGGCCGTGCATGTATATTGAATGGGTGCAAGAGTGAATTTTCTACTCCCTTCCTATCATGAATACAAGCTTTCTCTCTTTGCCTGCAAGCAAGGTAAAGCTTGGTTTGTTTCAAAAACTGATTGTTCAGTGTCTTTTTGTACCATCTGTTGCTTACCTGTCATTTCTTTTAAGTAAGCTGGGTTATTAAAACAAAATGTCGGCTTGTCTCTTTATCCTTCCTTCAATTCTTTTGAAACAACTCCCACCCACCCAAGTCTGTGGGCCCACACATTTAATGGTGTTAGCTTGGTTTAATTTCTGGTGATATATTTAAAATTTCTATTTTATCACAAGCATTTGTTGTCCTTGATGTTACTAGAACACCTGTTCTATAATAGGGACTTTTCTCTTTGCAAAGATGCTGTTCAATCACCTATGCTTAAAATTCACTCTCCACTTTTACTTACTCTGCACTTTTTATACATTATTTTGTTTGCCAGCAAATTCAATATGAAGCAATACCCAGCTTCAATTTAGTTCACTCTTATACATTTGTTGACCAATTCACTGCACTGACCATTGTCCACTCGTTAATTGTTGATCAAAGTTTGGTTTCCATTTTATGGTGGGGAGGTTCGTTGTTGTTTCATTTTATTGACTTTCTCCCCTTCTTTCTTTTTTGGCCTTCCCGTCTCTTTCACTTTTTTTTTTTTTTTTGTGTGTTGTCACTGGTGATGTCTCACTTGGCTTCTTTTCACTTGATTCATTACCACAGCTTTTTCAAGTTGTTGGTTGTGAAATTGGTAAACATTCCTTCTTACTATCTTTCTGTTCAACTAATATTGTAAATGTTAGTGCCTTACATTGAGGGAAAAAATTACAAAAAAACAAAACAAAACAACTCCCAAGTCACTTCTTCCCTAAACGTCCCTCTTGTAGAAGAGCTTCTCACCTTGCCTGCTCAAATTTCTCAGCAACACTTACTGCTGCTAATCACTTAGGACTATACACCAGTTTCAATTCAAAAATATTTATAAACTTTCCTTTCCCCTTAATTTTTTTTCTCTTCTCTTCCTCTATCAAACTTCAGCTGTGATGTGATTTTAAAAACAGGAACAAAGAGAAGTTGTCCCCTCCTCCTTAGTTGATAAGCCAGCTTCTCGCTTTCTCTCCCCACACACACTTTTTCCCTTGCTCACTGCAGATAACATTCTCTTCTACCCCTCCCATCCACCCCCACCCAAATTCCACCTCCTCTTCCCAGTTTGCATTTGTCAAGTTGAGTTGCTGGTATTAGGATGTTTGTGCAGCAGCAGCAGAAGTTGACATCTTAGAGGAATCGATGAAAAATGTGCAGTCAAGTGTTCCATTGCACTGTTCGCTAAAAAAGAAAGGAAAGAAAGAAAAAAAAAACACATTAAAATCAACCTGCCAACCAATGTACCATAGATCATTACTATTCTTCATTCTGAAACTCTGTTGATTTTTTTAAATGAGGAAATTTTATTCCTGATCCCGTAGCATTCTATTTTGTACAAATAAAGTCATAATACATCATATGTGGCTTCTGGATTTTTTTTTTTTTTTTTTTTTATTATTGAAAGCTGCTACAAAAAAAAATACAATTCCTCTTGTCAGAAAATTTTCCAGCTAGCTAAATTCTAAGAATTTATCATTTGTGTTCAGTTTCACCCTAACTTTCCAAGGAATTGAGAATGTTTGGTGGCTGCCTCAACAGCATCAATCAGGGCTGATCGGAATCCTGCCTTTTCTAGTGTGTGCATGGCATGGATTGTTGTACCGCCAGGAGAACAAACTTCATCTTTCAATTGGCCGGGGTGTTTGCCTGTTTCTAGTACCATTTTAGCTGCACCCTGCAAGTTTTAAAATTTGCTATTAGATTATTTATTAAAAATAAAACCTGAAATAAGAAAAATTTTCATTGGGAGCCCGTGAATATTAACATTTCTGTTATTGACTTTTTTTTTTTTTTTTTTTCTACACACAAATGCGGTGGGGGGGGTTAAATCCCTAAAAACTGCATTGAGACTTTCTTGTACTTTAAACATTTACTGAATTGTATACCATTATAATCAACACCAACTATAAGGGACATGAATATTTTGATCTTCAGCATTAACTTTATAGAGGATTGAGTTTTTCATTTTTTTTCTGCCATCTTTTGGCAAAATTCATAATTCCATCCTCTCAGGGTGTTTTTGATTGAGCTGTTCAAGATTTTTTTTTTTTTTTTTTGCAATACAATCTTCACACTTCTGATTGTAGCAGCAGTGTTATTCTCAATTCTAACAGGGAAGATAGGAAATAAACAATATTGAATGAAGTTGGCTAAAAAGTAAACATTTTATGGCAAAATAAATATATATTAAAAAAAAACTGGTGTTCAATCTGAATTAATAAACACCATTTAATTAAATACATTGAAGAAAATTGTTGAAGAGTTTTTGGCATGATGTTGTTTGTCTATCCATCTACATAGGTTCAAGCTAGAATAAGGATACCCTGGGTGAATTATTCTCATTTCAGCCTGTGTAATTGACAACAAGCTTATTTAGTGTAACTATTGCATTCATCTGCATAAATTGTTCAAATGTGATTGGAAACCTGAAAAATTGGTGATTGTGAGAATCTGATCCAATTATTTAGAATATCTCCAACTCCTTGTTAGCTGCAAGACTTTATGAGTAAAACCTAAATCTTGGCAGATTCTCCAGTACAGATTTGGCTCTTACCAAAACTAAAAACTGTCATTGAAACTGACAACTGTCAATATCCAAATGATAGAGAAAAATTAAAGGACAATTTAAATAACTATCCATACAGATCTGTTTATGCTTAAAAACTGAAATGATTAATTCAGAGGAAAGTAAAGTTACATTTCAGGGGCTGCTTGCTCAATTTTCTATTGGGTAGGAAATCTATTCATTGTGTGTGTATACAAGAATTAATGATAAAGTGGGAAAATTGTTACAGTTTGTTCTATAGGACTTCATCAGATTAAGTGATGTTGATGTGACTATAGTTATTGATATTTTTTTATTTCAGAAATATAAAACTGATATGGGTAAGAATAAGAAAACTGGTTCTAAGAATGTCACAAAAATAGATTAAAGAGAAAATAAAAAGGACGAAAATATTTCGAGCTAATGTAAACAAAAGGTGCATAATATTAAGAACATATGTTTGAGTTATCCTGGTTTTTCATTTTCTTAAACAACCAACCTAGATCCAAGAAGTTCTACAAAAATGAAGCTGGCAGTTATAGATTCATAGTTCTAATGAGAAATGCATGTTCCTTAAATAAGTAATTTAAACCTATTCATGGTCTCCCATGGCCAAATTTGTACCGACATGTTTTGGCTACAGGAGTGGTTTTCTTGATGGGGAAAAAAAAAAAGAGATACAGGTTCAATTCCTGTCGGTAGACACAATCTTTCTTTAGTAGGACTTCTCAATCAAGGCTGGTTGTTATTAATTTCACTGTATAAGAAAATAGAAAAACAGATTGCAACTGACATGTGTAGCAACTAAAAGTAACAGTGATAAGCAATAACACGGATTAAAAAATCCACTTAAAAATAGATGATCAATTAACTGCTATTGTATATTAGATGCATCCAAGCCTTAATATATGACAGGTTAAATTCTGTACACATCTGAAGTAACCAGAGTTTATTTATTGGTCCTATTCTGTGTTTACCCTGGAAATTCTAAAACTCCCAGTTGGTACCAATTTAAACCTAAAAATCAACCTTAATTATTTTATTCTCATTTGGGACGTGTGTTAAGTACTCTCAAAAGTATGCAAAGAAAGATTTCAATTTCTCACTAGAACAGATTGTGGGCGTGTAAAAACTAAACATTGTAGCAAAATCTTAAGAACAAAGTCATAATTCCCTCATCTACTCCAGATGGTAGTTTTTCTAGTCAAGACATTTACTGTAAATGCAATCCCAGCCTTTCCAAAAGAAAATATATTTGTCACCAATTTTCTCCCTTTGACTAGCCTCTTCTTCCCAGCAAGTTTCAGAGTATTGCAATGTCAATAACAATTGTACTCTGTCTTTCATTAGTGATGTTCTTACATTTCAGCACAAATTTCATTTTCATTCTATCAATTCATGTTTCTCTGTATTTTGAGTACCAAAGTGAATGTCTACCAGTTGTGTTAAAATTGCCAGACAACAAGGCACCTCAACATGGTGTTATGGTTAGTAAGCTTGTCTAACTAGAACAATTACAACTAAGTAGTGAGTTTGATCCTCACTCAGAGCCCCCATACTTTCGGCAATATCTAAGCTATGCTTATAAATTCACTATAACATGGTAATGTTTAGTTTACCTTTTCTGGAACATCCCTAAATGCTGTACATATACCTAATGCGTGTATGTATGTATATATATATATATAATCTCTATCTATCACAGCTGTTTGAGGTTTCCTATAGCCCCACTGAACTTAAATAAAGTCAATTCAGGTTTCCTATGGTAAAAATTTTCTTTTCCAAGTGAAAATCATCACAAAAACGGCAAAAGTCATTTTGTCACAGCTTATTTTCTCTCAAAAAATGGATTTTCATACTTTTATAGGGGTAAAATATTGAAAAATGACTTGTTTTATCATCACCTAAACTAATATCTGAACCCCATGAAACTAGGTATTTTCTGAAAGCAAAGGATATATTCTTTCATTTAAAAGTAAAATTAGCTGGTGTAAATGACTCAAAAATTTTTTTTTCAGTGGGTAAAAAATGTGAAAAATAGTGAAAATTTTGCATTTTTTTTCTTGTTCTAAACAAATATTTCCCCCCATTAATGGGAAATTAACCATTTTTTTTTTTTTTTTTTTTTATGAAAATCAGAAAGCCTAAATCATAATCAAACTATTTCAGGCATAAAATTGAGAGTTTTGAAGGAAATCAACATTCCTAGGTGTTCAAAATGCGACAAAATCCATTGTTAATTTTCAATTATATGACTGCCAAGGGTTAAAAAAAATAATTGACACCCGGCCACGGAAATCTTTAGTAAAAGGCAAGAGATTTATCTGCAATTCCTAACCACCAGAAACCAAAAGTTTTTTGGGTTTTTTTTTTTCAAAAAAAAATAGCGATAAGGAAAATTAAACCTTATTGACTTTGACGTCTAGGTCAAAGGTCAGCCAGCCAGCAATAAATGGCAAACCTTAGAACAAGTTGTAATAAAACCCACCACTCCCAGATAAAAGCAAAGAGTGAAAAAAAAAAAAAAAAAGGGTTCACCATTACTAGGGCTTGATATAACCTATGTTTCAACAATGGCTTGATGAGTTTTGTTTTGTTTTTAACACCCCGTGACCCAGATGATGACAACAACACTTAGCAGACAACATTGTTTTTTTTGCTGCATATCTTTCGTATTTCCCATCGCCGGTCCATTTAGCCGTTCTTTTTATTCAATGATGTTCATGCCAAATGAAAGATAAAGGAATGAATTTTGAATGATGTTATTTTGAAGCAAAAATAAATATTTTTTCATTAAAAAAAGTGGACTTTTCTCAGAAAATTGGGCATAATTTCTTAATGCTAACCGCCGAGTGACATTTTTCACAGCCAAATCGAAGATTAATTACCAGTAAATAATTCCATGTGCAAACAATAGCCTTCTGGATCCTATAAAGTCACCCTAAAAGGTCCAGAAGTTTACTAATTGATCAAAAACCTGTTGCGCATAATTGTATTTTTCACGGTCAGTTTCCATTATTTCATCTTGATATTATCATTTTCGGACAGCCAAGTCATCAAGGATTCAGGAAAACAGTTTGACGTAGGTTTTCTTTAAGAACATTACATTCTATGAGGTGTTTAAAATGTTACTGACGAATATTTCGTTTATGCGCCATGTTGGATTTTCCTATATGACAAAAACAAGGGTTTTAAACAGCCGTGATATACACACATATACACACACAATATACCAGCTGTTCAGAAAGTGACTATGCAATTATGTTTATTAACAGGCATGTTTTAATATAGGAGGAGAATATATATGAAAATTATGAACAATGTTGTTATAACCATATTGGGGTGAAATCTGAAATATAAAAAATATGATTAGAAAAGTGCAGAGTAATTTCACAATGTCAATCGCTATCTACTGTCCTCCTTTTCCCACTCATTATTAATGTTTGTTTCTAATTCCTCCAAGCCCTGTAACCCCTTGTGTCTTAGTGGCTTTACTGCCTTGCATGGAGTGATATCAATTTTAAAAAAAGCACCCTGTAGATGATGCCTTATTCACACAAAACTACAAGATTTCATAATTAAGCTAAACAAAATTCAAAGCTACAATTGAATTCACATATGAATAATAAACATGGTAGCTATTCTGTTTATTTGAGCTGATAACAGCTCAAAATTAAAATGTATACCATAACTTAGCAAAAAAAAAAAAAAAACGAACTCGGTCACTCATTAATTTTTACTTTCATCACAACACAATAACAATAAAAAACCGTAATTATTCCAGATTTTCAGAGCCCTTAGAATTTTCAGCCCCAAATATCTGTCCCAAAAGCAACAAAGGAAAAGTAAATGACAACAAAAGCTAGGCTTGTTAAATTACCTACAAACTTCATAACAGAATTATAAAAAACAATTAAAAATTTAATCACTGTAAAAACAGAGTTAATTTCACATATGTCAATATATATATTTTATACCTATAATTAGAGTTGGGTGGTTTGGCAATTTATGTTTCAGTATCGGTTTCCATTTTTTTCTTGACACCATGGTTTTCGATTCAGTTTTTCATTTTTTTAATTTAGTATTTTTGCTTTTTATGGAAGCCATTCATTTTCTTGTGTAATGATAGCATTTCCAGTCGATATCTGATTTTGTTTGAGATTGATAAATTTGCAACTTAGTCTGTTCAACTCACAATTTATTGTGTATTTCTGGTCCAATCTTAAAAATATTCCTATGGCTGGAAAGAAAATAATCTTTCTAAATATGTAATTTTTGTGTGCTTTTATTATTTTTTTTACAAGTATTTTGCTTTGAACAGCCGAAAATATGAAATATGATCCCTACCCCCACTGTCCCCGAGACTAAATTTTACACTCACTTTAATTTGCAAAATCAAAGTGACCAAACTTTATCAATATTCTTGAAATTGTACACTCAAGAAGATACATTAAACTACAACCAGGAAGAAAAAAAAAAAAAAAAAAAAAAAAGGTGTCTGACATCAACAGACACTTGTTTTCGATTAAAGTTTATTTATTAAACTTTCAAATAAATTGTCAACTATAAATAACTATCATATTTATTAACAAATTGGTAAAGTACAAAAGAAATCGTTGCATAAACTATCTATATTTTTGTGTCTTTGGACAACACATTTGAGAGAGAAAATGGTATAGCTCTCCAGAAATTAGTTTATGATATGGCTTTAAAGAAGCCCAAAAAAATGGAACCTCATGTTTTTAAAAATATGGCAATTCTTTTCCAGTGCGCCAGTCAACCGTTATTGGGTTTTGCAAATAAATTTCTTCTAAACAACGAAAATCAATGAGTTATTTTTTCACATAAATAAATTTATGTTTATCTAGCGAATACACAAAAATAATTAAAAGCATTTAATTTCATTTTTAGAATGCGTAGATTTCCAAATCTGCGAGTATCCCCTGTTCTTTTTAGATACACATTTTAAAACTGAAATTAAAAACTATTTTAATCTAATCTTACTTAAGTGTATTCACTAGATAAAACCATAAAGATATTTGTAAAGATAAAATGAATTTTCCTTGTTTAGAAGAATTTTATAGGCAGAACACCCACCGAACTATAGTAGCTAAAAAAGAAGGAATAATTTTTGCTTTCAGTTTAGGAAAAATGACTTGCAGTTTTGAAAATATACACATTTTAAACCTGAGATTAAAACTTACTTTATTTTTTTAATATTTAATTTTAGGTGTATTCGCTAGATAGAAACATCATTTTTATTTGTAGAAAACAAACAATTTTATTTCTAATTTTACACTAGAGATCCACATATCTGGAAATATACAAATTTTAAAAGTGAAACTATTTTAATTTTTAATTCTTAATATCTAAATTAGGTGCATTCCCTAGATAAAAAACAAATTCTTTTATAAAAAAAAAAAAAAAATATCATTCATTTTTCTTGTTTACAACAACTTTTTGTGATTGGTGTACTGGCTTATTAGGAAACCCTTACAGAAAATCCGACTTCATAAAATTTAACAATAAGACGAAACTGGCAACTATTTTTTTTATTTTTACTCACTATTTTGTTGTTAACTCAATCTTACCACAAAAAGTTGTTTTTTTTTTTTTTTGAAAACTGAAACAAATAGATTTCAAACACCATGTATTTCCTTTGTTTTTCTTCTTCATTTCTTTTGTAAACAAATAGATTTCACATTTATTTCCTAAAACTCCTCGACGAGAGGAGATGGATTAAAAATCAAGGGCTTATAGAACTTAGAAGAATAAGCATAAAAAGGGAAGACAAAACTAATCGAAACAGATACATAGTTACTCCCCACCTTTTATCATACCAAAAGAAATCAATAAAAGTGAACCAATGCATACACTCTCCTTTAAGATGCTACAAATGCCAGAAATACTGGCATCACATAGTAGATGTATGGGATGAGCATTCTGTGAGAGATGCAGACAGAAAGACACCAACTACCTTCATGAAGAGATTGAATGTGTCAACTGTCATGGAGATCACCCAGTATGTGCACAAACATGGAGGAAAGCAAAAAAAAATAATGTAAGTGAAATAGAGAAAAAAGGTGTGCCATTCTACGAGATATGAAGCATTGTAGAGGACCAGACCAGAAATGTGATATACTTAAGTGTTGTGTAAATGTCATCAACTGCAACCAACACCAGTCAAGCAGATAAATACAAAACACTCATCATAATAATGTGACACTCAGTGTTTGTATTTTTTTTCAAATCTGTTTTATTCAAATGGACCATCAAAATCTGTCTTTAATTTTTTTTGTTTTTTATTATATCTTTCTAGTTTGTATATAAAAATATATTCCCTTGGAGCACAAACAAGGCTGTAGTTAGAAAACCTAAACTATCCCCCATTTATATAGTTGTATATTTTTATTTTTTATGTTGTCGAATGTGTCCATTCTCAACAATGTCTCCACTTGAGCTTAGCAATTGTTATAGTGGAACACACCTATTCTATAGTTAATAGACTCTCCCACCTATAATAAGTAGGAGTAGTAAGAGTCGCTAAGTCGCTCAGTGAGTTGGTCAGTCAGTCGATGTCAGACGACCATTAGTCGGATATAAAGACTATCAGCGACCACCACTAGATTTCTCTGCGTCATTACCTATTATATCAAGTTCCTAACGTTTTGTACATCAAACCTATTTTAGGACCGACTTAATACAAATACAAGCCTCTACTGTGAAAGCACTCTACAACAGCAATTCTGGAGAGTGCCACTTCTTGTCACTATCTGAATCAGTATAAACATTTAGTCACTTGGGTGATTAAACCATATTTCATTTTCATTTTAAAATTTCACTCTCTGTCCACCCCACTCGTCTCAGAACCCAATATTGAGAAATGTCAAAGAGTAAACCCATTTGCACTGAAAGATACACACACAATGCATTTGTGTTTCAAATACTTGCAAACTGTTAGTTACACTACCAAAGTTTTAATATAACATCAGGTATTTTACAGCCATGCCAATGTTTAGTGTCTTTTGAACTAATTGACTCTGCCATTTACATATTAAAAGATATCTAATGTTGATCCCAGAGACATTTGGATTGTGAACAACCAAATATTTAAAATATGTGTACAATTGTGTTAGGGTTTGGATTGGGTGTCTCCAACCCCCTAATCCCGGTCAAGTAAGGAGCAAAGTTGCAGTTTACATGTCCACTCAATCTCTGAGATCAGGGATCAATCAGCCACCAGAATCCTGTCCTCAGGCATTACAGGTATTCACTTACAGCCAATAGGTAGAGCCTTTTGAGGCATTCTTACTCCTTTGCAGAGTAAATTCTAGGCTCCGTCAACAGGACAATTAGTACTTACAGACAGATTACTAATAAAAAAAGACATAAATGAAATGTCCTTGTACAAAGGACATTCATATAATTTTTTTAGTATACCTAAAAATTTTATTTATGAAAATTGAGATAATTTTTTTTTTTTTACTTTTGTTACTCACCAACAAAGTTTGTGCAGCTAACTTTGTAGAAAGTGCACGGGGTAGACCCATCTTAACTCCCCCATCAGACAGAGCCTCGATAGCTGCAAAAGCCTAAAGAAAAAAACAAAAATCTCTTATACTCATTATAATAAACAAGTCAGTGCTTGTGTTTTTAAAACACCATTTATTTTACAACTGAAACTAAATGTTACCTCTTTGAAAAATCATATAATTTTAATACAAATATCCCTATTTATACATATTGAGATACCTATATCACACACACATAATTATATATTCTTATTACTAATGTAATAAGACATTTAACATTATATTTAATAGGTACATATGTTTGAATAGACATTCTTGTCTTTCAAACTGGAAAATTAATGTCAACTGGCCTAGAGATTGAGAAAACCTACTAAAGAAAATATGGCTTTTAATAGGAATTGATCCTCTATTTCCCTTTCAAAATTGGATGACAAATATTTTTTATATATTCTTTATTTTATTGACATGTGGAAGCACAACTAAATTTTAGGAAGAAATCACAAAATTTTCAGTTTGTTCCTACAACCTTTTTAATTTTTTAAGTCAGAATCAAACTGGAACATGTTGTTAATAAAAATATATAGTTCAAGATAAGGTTAAATGATCTTAACTAGTTGCTTTGTTTTTTTTTTGTTTTTTCTTTTACTATTATTAGTAAACACCTAACTTTGTCTTATGGAAGTCAACCTGCCAGTTTGTTACCAATATATATTAGTATATTAATATATTAATACAATTTCACCATTAATTTATGTCCTTAAGAGCCTCACTCATTTTGAGAAGTACATGGCCAGTTGATTTGACTACCTACTTTTCAAAAGCTAGTCTTCATATAAACCCAGAATCAAATATATCTTTATGCAAACAAGTCACACAGCCCAGAAATTTTGGCAATTGTTTTTGTGGGAAAGTCATTTCTCTTAAGTTATTCTGCTTAAGAAACAACACCAACCCAATCGATAGGGCTTTATGTAAACAGCTTTATGTAAACAACTTAATATCAAGGGTTTTTAAAAATCATTTTTTATTTTAATATTCCTTAAGAACTCATCTAAGCTTTTTAAACTAATGAGTTTAATTAGTTTTTTTTTTCACAATTAGTTCCAATAATTGTTAAATACAATCAAGCTTTCTTCTCAAGTCCCCCACCCAGTCCTATACTCTAAAACTGGGATTTTCCATATTGAACACTATTTAATCAACTATTGTCAAGCCTCCTTAGGGCTATCCTTGTCCTACACAAAAGGGTTACCCTCAACTTCATTACAGTATTAATAAGTGAGTAAACATAATAATAAATAATTTGAAAAAAAAAAAAAAATAAAAAAATAAAGTCATTCATCTGGTTTCCTTCATTCTTCCAGTACCATATGCTTTATAAAGCATATGGAAGAAAAAGTCACTAATTTCTTGTACTTTTTTAACTTGTGTTTCTCCGTTTTCTATATCAATAATTACTTTTAAGTTTCATTAAAAATTTAGTTTTCACATTCATACTCAAAAAACATTGTTTAAAAAGTGGACAATTCTTTTTATCGTTACAGTGTGAAGATTACACAAAACCAAACCCAGCAAACAGCAACTTACATAGGCCGGTCCGCTTCCACTAACTCCTGTTACTGCATCAAGATTGGCTTCTGTTCCCTCTTCACAAATACCAACACTGCTTAAAAGTTCTGCTACAAGATCATTGTCACCTTTAAGAATGGCTGACCCAGGGGCCAGAACTGCTGCCCCAGCTTGCACCAAGGCAGGAGTATTTGGCATCACTCGGATAACACGAGACGCATGGGGAAGAAGCTAAAATGAAAACAAACATTTTGCTTAGTTGGAAAACAAATTTCTATTGTTACAGAAGTTACTGTGCTTGAGCTCATTTCTTGAGATCTTTGCTTTAAGAATTCAAACCACACAAATAGATTCTATAAAAATACAAATATTAAATTAATAATTTTATAACTAACTTGATCAATCCCAATCAGAGGTAGCTGAGGAATTCTTTGATTGGCTCTGATCAGAATCCACACTAGCATAGGTTTCTGTTTAGAACATTTCAGATTTAGGCTTTTTTTCCATTCAGGACTTATGATGAAGTAAGAATATAAAAAGGAAAATATATTTGGAATTTTTAATTTTATTCACCTAAAGAATTTATCAGACTGAACTTATTTTAATTATTTACAATTACATATAATACATATCATGATTCTGTTCTAGGTTTACCACTAAAGAAATGCTGAAACATTAACAAAAATGTTGTACTAGAAGCAAAGCAACACAGTTTTCTGAATATTTTGTCTGATCTGAGATTTCATTTTGACACTCATAATATTTGACAAAGTGTTGCTTTAAAAAGAAAAATATAACTGATAAGATTAAAAGAAATAAGTAAATTTCTTTCTTCCTTAAACATCTATCTTAGTGGCTTTACTGCCTTGCATGGAGTGATACCAATTACAAAAAAAAACAAACTGAGAAATACTTATTCCTTTATTATTGCTTGAAATATTTTCATTTTTAACTAAAAGGTTGAGCTATTTTCAGCCATAACCATTTTACAATTCCTTAATAAATCTTGTACAAATTTCTTTGGTGTAGTTTTAGTCAGGTTTTTAAGTGGATATTAATTTTTGTTTCCATTATACAGAGCTAATCAATATCTAGACAAAAGTTTTTCTCATGCAAAATATTTTTTTTTAGACATACAAAATATGAATTCACTGGTTTCATTATTAGGAATTGTTCTCTCCACAACCAAAAAAGAAAAAAAAAAATAATTCATATTCTTTGACTTAAATAAAAATTCTTACTTCTTCAATGACAGAAATACGAATGCCTGCAGCAATGGACACAACCAAATTGTCCTTTGTGATAAATGGTGACACTTCCTTCAGCAATGATGATACAACATTTGGTTTGACAGCAATCACAACCACTTGAGTATTCTTAACAACTTCTTCATTCTTTGATGTTGTATTCACTCCTAAACACTAGAAAAAAAAAAACAGAAAAAAAATGACTTAAAAAAAAAAAAAAAAATATATATAATTAAAAATATTTTTCTTAAATAAATCAAATTCAAACAATTCTTTCCTCCATAACTGTTGAATTAACTATTAATTTTTGTCTCAAAGCAAATTTTCTCTAATCGATATAACAATAGGCTTGTATTATTTACATTATTCAGACTGTTACTCATCTTCAATACCATATTCACAACATTTCAGGTGATTGGAATTTTGAATTTGTTCTAGCTCCACATGCCATGACTATACCGGATGTCTCAGTTATTTCCCTTTAACTCTCCAAGTTTTGGTTCACCACTGCTGTGGCCTGGTATTGAACTCACAATTCTTTAGGTTTAGTCACTGGATCTAACCAACATCTTTATCCATGGCCCAGTGGAGAAAGACGTTGGTTAGATCCAGGTTCAAAATTCCAATTAGTTCAAAATTATATCACCTGAAGAAGGCAATGACATAAAATTGACATGACTTTCTGACCAATCAAATAACAAAGATTCAATTAAGAAAGTAAATATGAAGTGTCTAAGTTTTAACCTGGAAATCATGTAAATTACCTGATAGGATTCAATCAAACTGGCTGCTAGAAACCATTGCCAGAGCCTCATGGAGTTTATTAAAGAATTTCAATTGAAGAAAAGTACATTTTCAAACAGACTAAAAAATACCAAGCACTAAAATTTTAGATTCAAGGCAATAAGTAGTGGCAGGATGCATCAGGTTTGTTTGAACTCTCTTAGCAATCTCTGATAATTGGGGAAATTCTCCAAAAGATGGATTTTCTGCTTAGGTTAGAATTAATAAAAACTAGGAACTTACTATACTGAATTAATTACAATTATTCATTTCACAAAAGACACCAGGTTTTAATTTTTTTTGTCAGAAAATTTGATATTGTTATTTATATACATGTCACTAATAACTATTAATATACTTATAATATAAAATTATATGTGATATGTTTATAATATAAAAGGTGAAAGTAATATGTGGCCTTTACAGTGAAATTGTGATTTCTAGTGACTTTGGTCCTGGCTTAAGTGTATGAGTCTCAAAAAATGTGTACACATTTTTACAGTATATAATGTTCTTCTCATTCATCAGAGCAAACAGGTTGAAAAACTAAGCGGAATAAATATGACATAAGCTTGTGGCTTTAGACTTTTTTCTTGGAGAAAAACTTAAAAGATAAAGATACACTACAAAGCCAGCAACAGTCATTGAAATGAAAGTTTCCATAGAGCAAGAATGCAGCCAAATACCTATCGAAATGTTGGTTGCTGTTCGTGATTCTATTACGTCACATTGTCAGCAATGTCCAGATCATAAGAGACATCAATTTGAAAATATGCAATGACAAAATCTTAAGAGCATGCATTTATAATAAATACTGTCTTCATATGCATTATTTAAATTAGATAGAGTTGCTTCTAGTTGCTTAAATTATTTACTGAGAAAACTTCAAAATGTGTCATTTTTTTTTTTTAGATACCCTGGATATAGTACTCAAATACAAAGAGGCTTGAGATATACTCAAGGTAAAGGGTTACAAAATGAAGTGAGTAATATGAATGTAAGAGGAGGTGGTAGAAAGTGAAGATTATGAGGATAGATAATGACTGACCCTTAAATTGAAGAGATTAAAATTGTAGTGCCTAGGAAAGCTTTCATGCAGGCATCTGTTCCATATAGTAGCAGGTCTTGGAGAAAAAGTTATCCGAGTTAAACTTTCTCCTTACAGTTTGAATATATTGATTGAATATGTCATAACATATAGAAACTAGAAAAAAAGTCATAAGTAAATAAATAATAATACAGAAACATTATTTTGATAACAATGATTTAGTAATGAGATATGTAATTGAATATACATTTTTCTTTTTTAAAATCATTTGACCACAATCAAGGCAATAAAGCCACCAAGATGCAAGGGGGGAGGTACTGAGTCTGAAAGAATATGAGAAAAACACTAGAAAGGAGATAGAACAATAAAAGATTAAGAAGATAATGATTGATATTGATCTTCAAAAATTTAAATGCAAAGTTGACTGGAAAGCAAGAATCTGAAAGAGTTCCACAAGAAGTGTGATAGAAGAAACTGTTAGCATAGAATTTACAGTTACACCTAGCAGCCATTTTAACTTTAAAATGATGAGACCTTGCTGCCAATCTAGTACTTTGCTTAAATTCATAAAATACAATTTCTTTATACAAAAGTTGTTAATATTGATACGTGTATTGCTATAGTCATTAAATATACACTGGCAAAAGAAAACAGGTTGAAAAACTAAGGGGAATAAATATGACAGATAAGCTTGTGGCTAGTTTAGATGTTAAATCCCTTTACACCAAAAAATGCTTTAAATCTGTTAAAAAAAAAATTTAACACAATCAAAAATAAACCTCTCTCTATCAATAGCTAAAAAATTTTTTAAATTGCCAACTCATCACCAGTTAATGCTATTTCACCTTTAACAATGATTCTTATAAAGAAAAATTTGGATGTATTTTCTTAGAATTTCTTAAATCAGCTACTTTACTGTGTATTTTAACTCAACAATCAACATATTTCCAAACATTTGGGTGTCCATCTGAAGACAATGCAGAGGATTCAGAAAGAGATGGAGAAGTCTAATGTTGATTATGAAGGTATGGCAGCTCAGAAAACACACTCTGATCCTTCTGGTAAACAAAGAACTCCCGAATTTGTTGCCGAGGGCATCACACTCAACATGGAGACCTACATCAAGTGCCTTGAAGAGGTAGTGCTACCCTGGGTGGCTGCTGAAAGACCCTATGTCTGGCAACAGGACTCTGCACTATGCCACACAAGCAGAACCCAGTCATGACTGTCAGACAATTTTTGTGACCACATCACGCCTTACATCCTGGTCACCTAACTCTCAGCGATTTTATTGAATAAATTTACTCTTTACTATTTCAAGATATTTTTGTGTCATTTTGGTAAATATCTCTGTTAAAAAGAGATGTCAGTGTTATTTTGATTTTTGCGTAATTTAGATGACAATTTATCCATCGCACCCTGTATTTCATATTCAATGTGAAACGAAAGGCTTGTAAAATATTTCAGAATAGAAGAGCGGAGCATTCTGACAAAGCCAACAAATCAAAATCTATTGTTCTACCAACCAATTCTATCACAACTACAATTGAAAAGAATTTATCTAAGCTTAACATAAAATTTGTTACAACTACTACTTCTAAAACAATACAAAACTTAATACAAAATAAAATAATAAGCTAAAACTTGAAGGAGAAATTTACTCTATCACCTGTAATAATTACCACAAGGAATACATAAGAGAAACCTCAAGGAATTTAAATAAAAGATTATATGAACACAAAAGGGATCTTTTACAAAACACACTCAATGCATTAGTTGCTCACCGTAATAAGTCTGGTCAATTTTGATCTAAAAAAAATGCTACTTTAATTAAAAAAGAAGAAGCAATTTATTAAAGTGACAGTGTATAGAAAGTGCGCTAATTGTTAGATCATCCAGGGTAAATTTACATCCAGGTTCTTACAACATTTCTCCTTTCTTGGCAGATCTTCTATTAATACAATGTGGGATACTTGATAACGCAAGTGATAAAAACAAAGAAAAAGCAACTAAATGAAATCAAGCTATATGCCCAGACATATATTTAAAAAAAAAAAAAACAAATTTTAAGTTCAGCATCCCCTCTCCTTCAAGCATGTGTAGTTGTAGCAATATAAATATCACTTTAATCCAATGAATTGCTAAAGGACAAAAAACATCACACAAAAAACCTTTTCCACTTTGTCCTAGATTTTCCTAAAATTGTTGATATATAAAAATTTATACATCATTTTCTTGTATGACAGCATAAAATCTGGTAGTAAACATATCTAAATGTACAATGCCAATTATCTTTTAGGAGCATTATTATTTATTGGAAAAAGACTAATCAACAGAAATACAGACAATGGTTGAAAATCATAAATTAACAGGAAACCTGCCAGGACTGTTTTTCATTACATCACAACAATTTTGGCACATGGGAAGCTCAGGTGATCTCAAGATTTGACTAAAATCCCAGAATTTAGTTTTCCTACTAAATTTTGGGATGTTGTACTATCAGATGCAAGAATTCTTCACACAGCAAAAAAAAAAAAATAAAATTACCTGAATGAATTTCAGCACTGTTGGGTCTGGGTCACTGGCCCATATTTTGGAAGGTTGCACCACTCCTGAAAGAGAAAAAAAAAACAATATTACAATGTGCATTATGGTCATGTAGTGTATTGGATTGTAATTTACAATTGTCAATTAATGTACAGGAACACAGAAGGAAAGAACTTCACTAAAATGTTTTTTTTGTTTTTTTTTTCAAGGCACACTTTGTCATTTGAGTGCATCAAGGAAATTGAGGCTCTGTTGGTTCCATATCAAAATATCTTTTAGGCAATGTGTACCATTTGGCTAAATAGAAATTTCTTGTCACTTGGGATAGAATTCTATGCACATGCCTAAGACTGGAGATAGAACAAGGATCCCATTTAAACATGAAGAAATGGGCTGAAACTTCAAATATGTCTATCAAAAAGAAATAAAAAAAAATGAACAGGATCAGTGGAAATGAAGATATTTCATTGAGTTTCTTTTCTAAAACCAGGCTCCATGTGTCATTTTTCCAGTTTTCTTGCCTTTATTTTTTGTATTTATCACTGACCCAAGATGTCTTCATTTGATTCCAATACTTCTTCTTTTCATCTTTTAATTTTTTCAAACAATCATCAAATGAACATTTGTATAAATTAATTTTCTTTTACGTTAGTTTTGTCTTGCAAAAGAAACAAAACAAAATAAATTTATATAACAAATACAGTTATAGGCACAAAGACTACACCTGACAAGTGTCTTTTAAAATCTAAAAATGCTTTAAAATTACCGGAATTTTGCTTCAAAAGAAACATGGCTTCCACATGAAAAAAGGCAATACTTAAAACAATTAATTTTATTAGATCAATAACAAAATATCCTTCAGGAAAGTTTACATATTTCATACCAAAATCTTCTCCCTAAGAAGCAAAAATGTCATATACTCATTTTATGTATTATGTCCTTTCAGGATTTGGATGATCATGACTCTCCACAACTTCTTGATTTTAGTTCCTTAAGTAACCTTTGCCTTTTACCATCTCTCATTGTTCTTATTTTTGCCAATCTATTATCTTGACTTCATGTCAACCCTTATATATATATATATATATATATATATATATATATATATATATATATATATATATATATAGCAAATGTAAATGTAAATGGATATAGATCAGACAGAATGAAGAAAAATTTGGAAAAAACAAACAAAAAATCCTTAAATGCAATTATATTTGTTTAAAATAAAATGAAATCTTATGTCTGACGTTTTAGGTTTAATAAAATTGAACTGAATTCATTTAAAATGAATATTGTTCAATTTGATAAAGGTTTATGGACATAAAAAACGTCAAGTCTTATTTCATTCATTTTTAAACAAATATAATTGCATTTAAGGATTTTTGTTTGTTTTTTCCAAATTTTTCATATATATATATATATATATATATATATATATATATATATATATATATATGTGTGTGTGTGATCATCCATGTCTAATTTCAATGTCTCTTCACAGATATTCTCAATGTTCCTTCAGTCTTAATTTTGGTGGGTGGCTAGTTTCTTCTTTGTATTCTATCTACAATACACAAGGAGTAAATCTAAAAAGACTGACAGGATCTGTGGTCCATACAACATCAAAACAAAATTAAAAAACAGTTCAACCCTTTGAAAATATCACTCCTGGACCAAGCCCTCCTTGGAAGAAAAAAACCAAGAGCTATGTGGATCTTATCCCATACAGTTGTGTCAAGGAAGACAAAGGAGAGACTAGACACCCTCTAAAAGGGTGGAGGAACATTGAAAAGCTGTTGTCTAAAGAGAAACATTGAAATTGTATATGGAGAGAAAAATGTGGAATGACGATAATAAACAATAATGCTAGATGACTGAAAGAATTAGCACACACGTCAGGTTATGTGACAACCTCCCCAGTGGAACTAAAATAGGGAAGAATACCACCTGAGAGCCTCTGACTAAAAAAGACACTCAACAAAAATTCCACCACTTCATGCCCTGTTGGCAGAGTGTAAAATATGCCAAGTGCATCTCCTGCAGTAAGACTTTCTTCCAAAAGGAACCAGCTACCAAGTAAATGCTTACAGTCTCAAATATAAATTGGTCCGTGTCTACCCATAGACTCTGTATAAACACAACAAATGTCTACCTATAGACTCGGGTATAATAAAAAAAAAAAAAATCTAAAAAAGGAAAACTGATTTTGACATTTAATATCCCAACAAGTACGGATATGTCATAAAATCCACGACTCTAACCCCTCCACCCCAAGTCAAGGATATACATACAGTTCCACCATCTGATCCAGACCACTCTCTGATTATAGATATTAGGTTTAAGGCACCAGAATTGCAACACTAGGTTTCTCAGTAGCCTAGTGGATTAAAGTGATAGTTAAAACTTTCAGTTGTGAGTTCAACCCCAAAGACTGGTAGTGCTGAAAAGTCATATACTTAGGTTGGGTGGAAGAAATAGACAAGTCATACAAAGATGGATGAGTATTAAATCAAATATTAACTAAGCATGGAAGTGGAGATTGAATAACGGGTCTGTTTTGAAACCGAGAAAAGAAAGGTCACTGAATACAAAGGTCAGACATTACAATGTCTGAAATGTGAATGTAACAAGACTGATCTAAATAGCAAAGAATATGATAAAGAGATCTTTGCTTCTTCATCTGGGAGAAAATTGTCCAGCATCCACTGCCACAGAGATGGATCTTACATAGCACTTCAACACTCATTGCTTAGTTTCTGAAAGACATCTGTTAAAGAATTGTGTTGTAATGGATGCTACATACCTTACCCATAATTATAATGATAAACATGACAAGTGTCTTAAAATCTCACAAGGTTTTAAATTTGTTAAAAAAAAAACAACACACAATTTTGGGTAAAAAAAGTGGCTATATGAGTCAATGAGAAATTATTTGATGGAAGGCTTGATCAAGTATCAAGCAACTTCATGAACAGATGGATGGAGCACAGTGTTTTACAAAGGAAAGCAAGAAGTGTGTTTAAGAAAAACAAATGGTTTTGTCCCCTGAAACATCTTTCACTATTCCTATGCACTTTCAGATTTTTGTACCACAATTTCTGCAATCTATTACCATACTGCACAAATAGTTAACTTTTTGCTGTTGATCAAATTTGATGTCCCCAATACACAATTTGGGTTGTAGCTTTTGCCAACAATAAATTTTGTCTTGTTATAGTTAGCCCTTTCTTCTTACTTCCCTTGTCTAAAAGTTCTTTAAATTTTCTTTTGGAACCTGTCATTTACATATTTTATGTTACCATGTCCACCAAAAAAAAATCTTGATTGTTTTTCTAGGTCTCTTAGGATTGTCTTGCTGTATAAATTAAATAAATCCAGTGAGAAAACACATCCTTGTCTTTTATTTTTCAAAATTCACTGAAATTATTCTCTATCCATATGCAAGCTGTTTGTTCCTAGTAGAAGTTATGAATTACTGGAATATCATTGCAATGTAAATCAAGCATTGCTAGTACTTCAAGTCGCTCTTCATACCTTTGTGTAATCTTTGGAGCACAGGTATAGGTCTTTCTGCATTGATTGTTCCAGTTTCATGAACAAAATCACACTGTTGGCTTATTTCCAATCTAATTCTACCATGAGATCTATTCAGTAGAAACTTAATAAGTTTAGTTATGTAGTCAAGCTGGTAGTCCAATGGAGTTTGCATTCATTTGCACTTAGTTTCTTTGGTGGTACTATGAAGATAGACTTACTGAAGTCTTTGGATATTTTGCTATTGTCATATATTTCATTTATCATTTCAATAACCTTATCTTGAAATCCCCCAAGATTGATAGCAATTCTATTACAATCCCATCTGGACTGCCAGCTTTGTTTCAGTTCATCTTGACCAATGCCAATTTTACTTCTGATTTTAATATTTTTTTTTTTCATTAATTCCATTTCAGTTTTTAGGGAATTATGCTTTTTTTTTTTCCATTTTCAGTACAGAATTCAATTCTGTTTTGTTATAGAATTCTGTTTTCGAAAAAAACTGACTTAATGAAAGTACTGAGCTGAGTAACTTTATCAAAGTGTGATCAAACAGAAAAAGTCCAATTCTAAATTAATTCCCATAAACAAACTGTTGAAAAGCTACATTATCATTTGGTCACTTTATTGAAATTATTAAATAAAATTTTTTTTAAAAATCTAATTTGTAAAATTTGGCTTTCTGAAATGACAAACTGCCCCTCCACCTCTCTCACCATGTGTGATAGGAAAAAGAAAGGATAAAACAAAAGGACAAAATTTTTGTTTTGATCCCCCACCCCAACAGACACTTTTTTTATTAAATCAAGCCAACTTTGTAAAACTTGGTTCCTAAATACTGTAAACTGTCAGGAGGCAGTAGGTAAAGTGGTGTATTAAATCATTACTGACTTTCTCCTTTGATGCCTGTCAGCAGAGAAGGTACTAATGAGTTAGGAAAGGCAAACATAGTATCCAATAAAAATGTCAGTTGGCAAATTTGATTAATAGAAAAAAGAGAATTTCCATTTCAAGTAGGTTTTTCCATTTTCAAGGAAAATAAGTGCCTCTTCTGTTGTCATAGAAGAGCTTGCCAAATTTCTTGTCCTATCTTTCTATTACAGAGTGTTTTCCAGTTTTTAAATTTCATACATCCCATCAACGAGCACATCATTTCTTTTATTTTGTTTTATGCCTACCTGCTATGTGTATGTCCTGTTTTGATGTTGTCTGTACACTTCTCATTAAGTCATTCATCTTTTGCTTGCTTGCATTCATTTGTAATGTTTTTGCTTTACATCTGCTATTCTGTGCCATTTCATGGTGTTATCTGCTGTCTATTCCCTTCTGATGACCTCATTTTCTGCTGTAATCAGTGTTTCCCTTCAAGAGTTTCACTTTAAGTAATTGTTTTATATCTGTTCTTAACTACATAGACATGCGTTTGTTCAGATAAATTACTTCCTCAGACAAAAATTTTCTCTAAAATCCCTCAAGACTAAGTTGTTTACAGAAAGACCTATTTGAATTTGAATCATTTCTTATGCAG